AATTCCTCAAACAAAAACAATTATAAAATTACCCATAATTCTAAGTGTCTCTTTCTCTACCCAATTCCCTCATGTAACTCTACATACAAATAATCCCATTTTCCCTCGTACCTCGATAAGCAGTAGCTTAAACTAAAACAGGATCTGGTTGGTCTCCTCCTCTAGGTTCCCCTCGGTCTTCAGAGAATGTAGAAGGAAAAGAAGTCAGAACTGAAAAGTGTGCTTTTTGGGAGTGCCAGAGCGCTCTATTTACAGGCATCAGAGTGGCCGGAACGACCTGTTTCAAATTCGAAATGGCCCGTTCTAGACTCTTCATCATGTGTAAAATTTCACATCCAGAATGGCCCATTCTAAAACCAGCACGACCCGTTCTGGGGTTATATTTTAACCCATAATGACCATGTTTGGAATGACTCGTTCCCAACTAGGGTTAGAGGCCATTTTGGTGGTTTGGAACGGCCCGTTCCAATTTGGGAACAACCCGTTCCCAACTAGAATTTGTAGGCCATTTTAGTAGGTGAACCTAAGTAAACCATTTTTAACATTTTTGGTTTAGATTAAGTGAAGGAATACAAGTTTGGCCGCCTAGCTCTTCTAGCTTATCCCACACACTTGGTTAGCTTATACTACAAGCTTCTAGCTTGACTTGCTTTACAAGCTTTGAAGCTTAGCTTGTTCCACAAGATTCCAAGTAACTAGGACAGTTAGCTTAAGTGTAAGAAGGCTAACCATAGTTCTCCTTGAACTATGGTTAGACTAGCTTGCTCCATAAGCCACCTCCTCTTTATATAAGCCTTTTCTTTCATTTTGTAAACACTTTTGATGATATATTCTAGAGATTTCCAAAATTACTTCTGAAATTCTCTCTTCCAAAATTCTTATACCTCTTTGATATTCATCCAGTTCTCTTATCCCCTTCATTCAAGAGTGTGGTGAGAATTGAAGTGACTCACCTTCTTCCAAGGAGTGACGCCTCTTAAAGAGTGTTCTTCATCTTCTTTGGTGACATCTGAATTCTCATCTACCATTGGAGGCTTTGGAAAAGCTTAAGGAGATCTAAGGAGTCAAAGATCTAGGGAGGAGCTTGGAGGAGAAACCAACATCAATCCGATTCTTCTACAAGTTTTCCATCACTATGCCCTTCAAGTGGGTTATGGAGGTAATAGGGCGACCCCTATTAGCCAAATTTAGAGAAGTTCCTTGTTGTTCATATGTCCCAATAACTTGTTTGGCTCGATCAGTAGAATCCACTCTAACCCTTTTCTTCTCATTTTTCTTGCTAAAGTGGCTTGTTGATGATATAACACCTTCCTTAACCATTTTTGAAGGAATATTATCTATATTTCTTGCAAGCCCCACATGATACTTGTTATCTGCATATTCGTGATTATCTACATGATAACTACGATTGTTATTGTCTCATATCAAATCACCCCTAGATTTGTTTGCAATATGTGATCCTGCTTTTTTTTCTTTCCGTTCATAATCAACCACTCACTATGCGCCACAAAAGGATGACACCCCAAGGGTTCCTTGGTAGTCTAATTAGGGTTGCTCATCTCGGTGCTAGTAGCCATTGTAGCCTTAGGTACTATTATTTTAGTATCTTGTGATTTCTCAAAAGTTGTCGCCTTACACTCTCGTGAAACATGTCTATAACAACCACATTTGGTGTAGAGCATGCGGAGACCTTCGTACTCCACATTATACCAAATGTTGTTCAAGCAAAATTTTCCCACAACAGGAACATTAAGATCGATCTGAATACAAACTCTAGCAAAGCGGCCTCTAGGCATAGTGAGTGTGTTTGTGTCCACTTTAATAGGTGGACCAATGGCAAAAGCAATTGAAATCAACACACTTTCATCATAGTAGACCATTCCATGTCTTGGAAAACAAACCCAAGCTAGAGTTTGATCTATTGTGGCCTCCGATGCCACAAACACAGCCAACCATTGTCGTACAATAAGATAATGGTAAAAAATCATCCAAGGTCCACTACTAATGGCCTTTTCCTGATCTTCTTCAAGATCGAAGCTGAGGATGAAGTAACCATGAGTGACATCTATTAATTTGAAACCACCTTCCAATTTCCAAATGGAATGAAGTTTCTCACGCATAGTGATGAAGCTAATCATCTTCCCTAGGATTTTAACCACCAAGCACCTCTTCCATAGAGAGCACAACTCATCAAACATTTTTGTCTCGATAGTGAATTTAGGTACCAATCTATTCTCTCCTTCGTAGTCTAATTGCATGACCCCATCTTTAATGAGATTTATCAACTTTTTTGGCCTAGAAGATGTTCCTAGTAATTTTTCTCTAATGGTCGTGCTCTGCTCCTCCTCCTGCCCACCACTAGGTGGTTTCGCATGGATATCACCATCGTCGTTTTCTGTTCGCAGTCATTCGTGAAAAATCGTTTTCTCTATATATAAAAGAAAAGCATCTTTATAGAAAAAAAGTTAAGAAATTGTGATGTTTAAACTTTGTTTAATCAATACTCAAAATTTTATATTTAATTTTAAATAAATATAAACATTCAACCATAATTAATTCTTTATTGAATTAAAAAGTAATTTTTGAAGCTTTATAAATTCAAACTTTTGAATGACAACATATTTTATATATAAATTTATATTTTTATATAAAAATTATGTGAGACCCGCTCCTCTTCCCCCCTGCTCCCTCTCAACATTCCCATTTCTCCTTGGTCTCTTTACCTTAGATTTAATTTCTCAAGCTACTTGGTGATTATAGGTGCTGAGTGAAGGGCCAGGGGCTAGCTGAGAGCACCGGTTTCTTCTTCCTTCTCCATTCTCTTCTCCTTCTCTGCTTCCCCGGGAGCTCGGATTCTTCTTCTCCGAGGTAAAGGAAGTTATTTTTTCGTGCGAATTGGTTGTAAATGAGTTTAGGAACTCAAATGTTGCATGATTTCAAAAGATTGATGGTTGGATTGGAGAGTTCTTCATTTTTGGGGTTTCGGGAAAATTGGAAAAAAATGGTGATTTTGATGCGTTTAGTGATTGCATGTTGAAATGGAGCTTGTTTTTGAGTTGTATGATGTAAATGTGGTTCATTTCCTGGATTGCATGTGTTTAAGCTGGCTGATTTGCAGGTTTTGTTTGAAATTTTCGAAGTTGTGAGGGTTGCTATTTGTAATTGCGTTGGGCGTAGTTCATTATGTCGGGCGTGTGTCCATCATAGAACTCCATTGTTCAAGCACGTCGGGCACAAGGTTGGTTGCGCCAGAGAGGTTGGGAATGGAAGTCCTTGGATGGCTCGCGCCGAGCGTGGGGAGAATCTCGCCGGGCGTGATATCAGATAGTGATTCAAAATTTTGGGGTATTGCCATGGCGCCGAGCGTGATTCGATAGACTCCATGAGGGTCTTTGCCTGGGGTGGCGCCCAACGCAGAATGAGCGCACCGGGCGTGAGATCTTGGTGAGGTCTCTGCCTTACTTGCGCTGAGCGTGAGTTTGGTACACCGGGCTTGGGAGACTCTTGGGAATCTCTGCCTCCTATTGCGCCCAACATAATTGGAATTGTGTCGAGCGTGTAAGGGCTTTAAAGCTCTCGAGTTGGGTCCAGGCCAGAAGAAAATTCTATTATGCTAGGCGCGAAGGTGTTTTATTCTATAACTCTGAAAATGTTGTATGATGTTTATGCAGATTAGTGATCTTAAGTTGAGCTGTGCTGTAAGTTGAATATGTTGTTTAAGTTGTTAAGCTAAGTTGTGTTGTTAAATGATGAGTTGTTGATCACTAGGACTAGAGGGGATGTTTTCGAAGTTGCTCATTCCATTGTGCGGATTGAGGAAGTTGTGGTGCCCTTAGAGCTCAATTTGGTGAAAACCCTCCTTGGGAAGTTGTCCCTTGGAGTGGTCATTGTGTTGTTCTCCTCTAGGACTTAGTTGGTCCCGTGTGTGGGCAAGGTCGAGGCACACGTGTACAAAGCAACCACGGTATAGGGGCCAGGTCGAGCTATACCAATTACAAGCGGCCAATCGAGTATCGGAAGGTTGTAGTATTAGGAGGAAATTTGGTAGGCTAATCCCATAGGTGGCTTAGTTAAGCTAGCTAATGTCGTGGTAGGCCTAAAACCCAGCTATTCTATCCTGACATAGTACTATACTTCCTTGTTTAAGTGGCAAAGTCTGAGAAATCGTGAGGTTGTGGATTGATATCCAAATTTTCTGTTTACCTAGCAAACTGAAAAAGATTCTTTGTTGTCGGTTCGGTAGGACCTAGCCACTTAAACTGCTCACCCATGTTGTAGAAGATCTCCTAGTTGAAATGCGTGACGATGCATAAGCTGTTGTGATGTTGATTTGCTGATTAATATGAGATGTATATGTGTAACTGTGATGTAGCTGTATGTTGTTATGTGTTGTATGTTAAATCTGTTGAGATTGATGACGTGCTTGCAAGTTGAAAACTGTTTATAATTTAATTATATGTTAATTCTTTTCACTAGCTTACCCTTGCCTGTTTTCATGCGGGTTGGACTACAATGATCATACTATGTGTGGGAGCAGAGTAGGGATAGGTTGGAGTGTAGTAGCAGGGCTACAGGTGGTAGTAGGAGCAGGCTTTCTTTTGTTTATGGGCTACCTGGTGTAGCTATTTTGTAATTTTGGATGCTGACTTGTTGAGCCCCAGGCTAGACTTATGTATATATAATTACTCTTTTATATGCATGCTTTATTCTGTGTGGTGATGTTTTGTTGTGCGACGGCTAGGTGGGTTGTTACACTTTTATGGTATCAAAGCAGTTCGAGTTTAGGGAACACTCTTTGGGGGTGGTTCCTTTAGGCTTTTGTTGTGTTGAACTCTGTGTTGTGTTGAATACTGTGTTGATTTATGTTGAGTTGTTTAGATTTAGCATGCTGAAAGAGTTGTTACTTTTTCTAGACGATGACTAGAACCAATGAGCAGATAGCCCATGCCATGAAGATGATGGCTATGGCTATGCAATAACAAAATGCCTACTTTGCTAGGATGGATGTTGATAGAGTTACATCTGGTGCAGCAAGACCAGTTGGGTCACAGGAGAGCTGGGATTTAGCTGAGTTCCGCAAGTGTCATCCTCCACAATTCAAGGGTGATGCAGACCCAGAGGTAGCTGACTACTGGATCTATGAGATGGAGAAATTTTTTACAATGCTAGGATGTTCACAGGAGAGGAGGTTGGCTTTTGCCATTTATATGCTGGTTGGGGAAGCTGAGCATTGGTGGAGGGGCACTCATCAGATGTTGGTTGCTAGAGGAGTGGTGGTTGACTGGGAGTGCTTTAAGAGAGTTTTTCTCGAGAAGTACTTCCCAGAGAGTGTGAGACATGCCAAGGAGGCAGAGTTTATGAGGTTGTACCAATGGAGTTTGATAGTGTCTGATTATGCGATGAGATTTGAGCACTTAGCTTGGTTTTATTCTCAGGCTATTTCTGAAGCTTGGAAGTGCAAAAAAATTGCTGAAGGTTTGAAGCAAGAGTTGAAGAGGGTGGTGCTGCCTATGACCATCACTGAGTTTCCGGCCTTAGTTGAAAAGGCGAAGGTTGTTGAGCGGTTGGAAGGTGGCAACCGGGTAGTGAAAAATACTGAGGGACTAGCTGGGTCTAAGAAGGGTGGAGGTCAGAGGAAGCCTTATGATAGGCTCCAATCACAACAAGGGGGTCCTGTCACAAGGAAACCTACTGACAAAGCTAGAGGTAGGAATCAGAGTGGTGTCACTCTCAGATGTTATAGATGTGGTGAACGCCACTTCGTTTGAGATTGCCATCATACTGAGAGCCGGTGTTTCAGGTGTGGCCAGATGGGTCACGAGTCGACCAGTTGTCCTGCCAGGACCAGATAGAATAGGAGTGCTCCGTGAGGTGATAGACCCACTACAGCTGGGAGGGTGTTTGCCTTGACCAGGGCCAAAGCTTCCACTTCATTTGATCTAGTGAAGGGGAAGGGCAAATCTGCTGGTAAGGATGTGATGATTTTGTTTGATTCAGGAGCCTCCCATTCTTTTATTTCCTATGCATGTGCTAAAATGTTGGGTTTGTCTGTATGTGATTTGGTGTTGAGACTACTTGTGTCGACGCCCGCTTTTGCTTCTGTTGTTGCTTTTGAGATGTGTACTGGTTGTCCTTTAGTTGTGGGTGAAAGGAAGTATAAGGTAAACTTGATTTGTTTGCCTTTAGTAGATATTGACATTATTTTAGGGATGGATTGGTTGTCTGCCAATCACATCCTTATAGATTGTGCCAATAGGAAGTTGATTTTTCCTCAGGTGGAGGACGAGTTGTTGATTTCAGCTAGCCAAGTTAAAACGTTGATGAGAAATAGAGCAGAGTGTTGTATTCTACTTGCTTCCATGAGTGTGGAGACCGAGAGGGTTATTGTTGATATAGAAGTTGTAAAGTAATTTACATAAGTCTTTCCAGATGAGGTGCCTGAGTCACCTCTTACTAGGGAGATAGAGTTTAGTATTGACTTGGTTCCTGGTGCGGGGCTAGTGTTGGTTGCTCCTTATAGGATGGCCCCAGCAGAGTTGGTTGAATTGAAGAGACAGTTGGAAGAGTTGTTAGAAAAGCAGTTAGTGAGGTTGAGTGTATCTCCATGGTGCTCCCATGTTATTGGTGAAGAAGAAGGATGGAGGTAGTCGACTGTGTGTTGATTACCAACAGTTGAACAAATTGACCATTAAGAACAAATACCCACTTCCCCAAATAGATGACTTAATAGATCATTTGAAGGGAGCATCGGTATTTTTGAAAATTAACTTAAGGTCAGGATATCACCATATTAGGGTGAAAGAGGGTGAGATACCTAAGACTACTTTCAGGACTAGGTATGGTCACTATGAGTACGTTGTGATGCCGTTTGGTGTGACCAATGCCCCCGCAGTGTTCATGGATTACATGAACAGAATCTTTCGACTTTTCTTGGATAAGTTTGTGGTGGTATTCATTGATGACATCGTTATTTATTCAAGGACCTCGGAGGAACATGGAGAGCACTTGAGTTTGGTGTTGAAAATTTTGAAGGAGAAACAGTTGTAAGCTAAGTTGTCGAAGTGTGAGTTTTGGTTGGAAGAGGTGAAGTTCTTGGGCCATGTTATTTTAGTTAAGGGGATTGTGGTTGATCCGGCTAAGGTGGAGTCGGTGTTGTAGTGGGAGCGCCCAAGAACTCTCACGGACATTCGAAGCTTTGTGGGTTTAGCGAGTTACTATAGGAGGTTCATTGAGGGATTCTCCAAAATAGTAATGCCTCTAACCCAGTTGACTAGAAAGGATCAGGCTTTCATTTGGACAGATGCATGTGAGCGGAGTTTTGAAGAATTGAAGAAGAGGTTGACTACTTCTCCTATGTTGGTGTTGCCTGATTCTGGTGAGCCTTTTGAAGTGTACTGTGATGCTTCTAACCAAGGATTGGGGTGTGTGTTGATGCAGAACAGGAGAGTGGTGGCATATGCTTCAAGGCAATTAAAGAACCATGAGAGGAATTATCTTACTCATGATTTGGAGTTAGCAGCAATTGTTTTTGCCTTGAAGATATGGAGGCATTATCTTTATGGTGTCAGGTTCAGCGTCTTTAGTGACCACAAGAGTCTGAAATACTTGTTTGATCAGAAGGAGCTGAACATGAGGCAGAGATGGTGGATGGATTTTCTGAAGGATTATGACTTTCAGTTGATGTATCACCTTGGGAAGGCCAATGTAGTGGCAGATTGATGGAAGAGCATGGGCTAAAGGCCCAACCACT